GAGGTGACAGGGGCAGTCATGCAAGGAATGGTTCTGCATTATTCTGGTTTTAGCGTGAAACACCCTCTGGATTTGATGTGTGCTCTGCTAATTAAACAAACGAACCACACAAACCCCAAAAGCTCCTGATCCAGCACAGCAGGATGGGAGATGGATTTGTTTGCCATCTTCCCAAAGGTGCAGCAGGTSAGAGCAGCTCCCGTGTCTGGGGTGGGGTGGGAGCCTTGGCAGGGCTGTGTGTGGTTCCTGCTCTGTGGGGACACAGCTGAGGAAATGACGGGGAGCTGTTCCTGTGGGAAGGGTGGGAGGGGGACACTGCTGCCCTCCCCTCCAGTTTGGGTGTGGGAGGGAGGGAATAGCCCTCAGCTCCTGCTGTGTGGTCAGCACAAGGCACATCCACTGACCCTCCTGCCTGGGGGATGGCTGACCCTGTGCCTGCCCTCCCCTGCTGCTCCTGCTGTCCCTTGGGCTGTCACCTCCTGCTCTCAGTGCCTTTCTRGCTGCCTCTGGGTTGTGCTGGGCTTTTGGGTTCCAGTGAGCCCTTCCCCTCATCAGGGAGCAGCAGTGATGAGCTGCTCTGCTGCTTCCTCCAGAGCCCTGGGAAGGTCCTGGCCAGCAGCAGGAGCACCAGTGCAGAACACACACCTTTGGCCACTCTGTACCCCTGAGGGACAGTCCTCAAGGTGATACCTGTGAATTCTTCACTGGTGCCTGCTGCCAGAGGATGGGTGCAGCAGGAGGGCTGCAATGGGCTGGTCACCTTGCATTTCATGGGACAGGAGCTCACAGATTGACCTGGGAGGGAGCAGAAAGGGTGAATTTGGCAGCTCCTCACCTGCCGTGGTGCAGGAAGTGATGTGAATGAAATAAATAAATCAGGCACCASCTCCTCTGTTGGCTGCTTAGGCACTCAGATCCCTGCTCTGGGCTTTCGTGCTTGGTTTCCAATTCCAGCTGAGAGATTAGCTCGGTGTGGGGAGGTGAGGGCTATTTCTGTCCCTCTTCATGCCACTGCCTTGACTCTGTGCTGCAGACACCTCACCTCCTCATCCAGGTCTGATCCTGCAGGTGTTTCCCCACGAGCAGCCCAGGGACTGGGGGTGATCTCCTTCCCTTCACAAGTGGCTGCTCACACACCTGAGCCTTCAATTCCCCTCTGCCTGAAAGCTTTAATGAATCTCTAGAATTTCAGTGTGTCTCATTCAAGGGTTGTTCCTCCGTGGTTTGTGTTTGTTTTGTTTTTTTGTTTTAAGTGGAATAAAACTGAAATCAGTCGATGGCACTTAAGTGAAGGACTTCTGTAAGTGTTTGTGCTCTGCGTCGGTGTCATGCTGTGCTTTAACTGCTGCCTTGGGAAGATGTGACAGAGGATTTGCAGGTCTCAGCTCCAGCTTCATCATCAGGTGAGGAGATGAGACTCTCCAGCCTCACTCAGCAGCTTTAAAAATCCAGCTCTAGCCTCAGCAGTGGGATGGCAAAGTGTGTGCACGACAAATGCTTTGTAGGAAGGTCAAGGAGGCAGCTCTGAGTGTGTGGTGGTGGAGGAAGATGAGTACTTTTGGTTTTCAGCTTTGGGGGGTGCAAGTGCTAACCTCACAATGTGAAATGGGAAGGAATGTGTGAGTAGGAGAAACCTTCGGACAGGATTGGGGGCAAGAGCTGCAACCACTGACTCAGTGAACTCTGACTTCATGGGATCTCCATCTCTTCTTGTGTTGTCAGTGAGCAATCTTGCCCTCAAAGACCTTTTGARCTTAGTGAGGTGAGGCAAAACATACAGGAAATGCAAATTTACAGAGAAACCCCACAATGGTCAACATTTGGGTTCCTTCACAGGGCCCARTCTTTGACCCAGTCTGAGCGAGCCTTTCCCTGCTGTGGTGCTGAGAGGAGGGGGATGGCAGGGGTGCCTCTCATTCCTTTTGGCCCCCAAAATATCCCCATTGTCCCTGCATGGCCGTGTGTGTCTGGCAGGATGTGCTCAGCGGGGTGGCAGCGGATCTGCTGAGCTCACGGAAACTCGGCTCTGTCAAACTCGGGCAATGGCACTTTTTCCTTTCTTTAAATAAAACAGAAACCAAAATGCRATGCCTTGCCAACCACAGACACCCACACAGCCACTTGTGTGTCACTGTGCAGGTAAACACATGCTGGGCCCTGAAGCTGGGCTGTATTTAGCCGGAGCTGTTTGTGCCAGAAGTCAATGATGTGCCATTTCTTGGGGTGCAGGGGAGGAACCAGGTCACTGGAAAACAGAYAGTCAGAGTGAAAGTCAAAGGCTTTCTGAGGCTCTGGGGTCTGTGAGAGTGATGGGGAGTTATGTCTGGGAGAAGCTGAGCTGTGTCCCCTCCAGGAGGAGCTCTCAGGGTGAGCTTTTAGCTCATTTAGAGGTTTATTTTCTGGTTGGGTTTAGGAGGTGCTGGTGTTTGGCACTTGCAGAGATGTCACATTTTCATTTCACTCCCCTTTGCAGACCACCTGAATGTCCCATTTCCTCTGTTGTAAGAGCAGAGGTGCATTCAGGAAAGCTGAAACATGGGCAAACTAAGCCACACTTGTCTTCTCCTTAAAAAAAATCCATGTCCTATTGCTCTTCCCAAGGKGCAGCCCTAAAACCACCAAGAAAACTTTCAGCTTACTTCATGAAACGCTGAAGTAAAGTTTCTTGCTTTAACAATCCTGCAGAATCAGGCTCTCATTTCTACCCCAGGTGTGTGTTTTGGAAAATATTTGTTCATCTTTCAGCAAACAATGGCAGAAGCAGCCGGGGAAGGGATCAGGGTGGGAGTGCCGTGTATTCTGAGAGGCATTTCCTGCCCTTATCTCCCCTCCTTCGAGGTATTGTGACTGGGGCTTCAGATGTGCAGGCTGTGCTGCTGCAGCRGAGGCTGAGATTGCCAGCACAGATATTGCCCTGGAATGCTGGCCAGGGCAGCAGCTGAGCTCACCAGAGGTGCTCAAGAGCTTCCCAGCCTGTGCGGGGGGAAAAGGCTCTGCCCCCAAATAAAAGCTTTTGGAAAGCTCATTCGTGCCTTTTCTGGGGGGTTTCTGGTGGGTCCCAGCCGTGGCACCCTTCCATTGCTTTCCAGTGCTCCACTAAAATCCTGAGTTGCTATTTTCCACTTCAGGCAAGTGAATTGAATTTGAATTTCTAGGTAGAATCTCCCTTATGAAAATCTTTGCAAGGATTTGAGTTTGTCCCTGTGTGGAACGAAAGCATTTTTTGGCAATCTTAAATTCTCACAGGATTAAATGGTTTTTTTGATTTTTTTTTTTGGTTTTTTTTTGTACAAGTCTACCCTAAAACCCTCAAAATGAGGTTTTGAGATGCTACTGAAGCTGTCCTTGGYCATTTGCTGGATAGAGCAGCTGCCTGGACCTGCCTGTGCGCTCTGGCTGGGTTTGTTTGTTTTCAGTTCCCAAACCAGTTATCTGTTGGAGGAAATGGCTTGTCTCGCTCTCAGATATTTATAGGTAAGGTCAAACCCCGTGGAAGGTCTGCAGCAGCACTCAGTAGGTGTGGATGGCTCAGCCTTGTGGGATTCCCTGGGATCTGTGGATGTGCTCTGACTCTTCCCTGCAGCCCCTCACTGAGGTCTCCTCCRTGGGCAGTTTCACCCTCTGGGGGGATGAGCTGTGGCTTTTCCTGCCTTGTTGGGTGGGTGAGGTTTGGTGTCCTCMCCATGGCTCTCACCTGGGTCTGGCTGCTCCTTCTGCTGCTTTTCCCATGGATTTGCTGCACCCAGTGCTTTTATGACTGTTGCTTCCTTTCTTTTGCAGCAGCAGCAGAATTGAACTTCAGGCTCTGGAGGCTTTCTCAGGTGCTTGTGAATATTTAAGTTCTCCAGTCTCCCTTTCCCATCATTACTACATTTTTCTTTTTTCTTTTCCCCTCTAARCTGGCTGAACCACACGAGCTCTCATCTCCTACCTGGGTTCTTTGCTGCTTGCSTGGATTTTGCACGAGCCATTCCATGTGCTTTGCAGGGGTCTGTTTGGGAAGGATTAATTCAGTTTGCTTGTGGTGTCGGCTTTATTTCAAATGCAGCTGTTGGATATCTGTTAAAATCTGGGATGTGTTTGCTCCTCCTGGGCAGCTGCCCATGGTCTCTTCTTGGTCACTTTGTGGGTAGCCCTTCTTAGAGGTTTCTGTTGTGGTCACACTGAGGGTCAGGAGCTGTGAATTGATGCTCTCATTGCTGTGCTTGTGGTGCCTCAACAGCAAAACCAGAGTGATTTAGTGTGTGGTGAGGAGAAAACCCAAAGGAAGAGAGAAATGAACGCAACCCCCATGTGTTTTTAAGAGCTGAGGTGGTATAAGTGTTATTAGAGACAGGTTTATCCATCTGTCCTTGGGCTGAGAAGGAGCTGGATGGATGAAGAGCAGCACAGATTATGCTCCTGGTGGGTAAAACTCCTCTGGGAACACCTGCCTGGCCTCGGGGCACCAGACAGGTGTCCCATGTGTCTCCAGGCTGTGCTTTATGGATTATTTGTGCTGGGATGGCCTTGTCTGGTGTCTGTGGCCACTCTGGGCTCTGTCCCTGCAGCCTGGGTCCCCTCAGACCTGTGCTGTGCTCAGAGTGAATTGCTCTGGGGTGGCTGTGGTGTGGGGTGGGGAAAGCAGGAAGGAGGGGTGACAGAGGGACAGCCTGGGGACAGATGTGTGTCTCAGGGCTCAGACTGCTCCCAAGCTGTGATCCCAAACAGAGGAAGATCTCTGCTCATTGACACTTTATTCTTCCTGTAGGACAGGGGTAATGTGAGTGTCAGATACAAACAAGGTGCACGCTGCAGCTTCTGCTTCATCAGGGGGGCTTKGCTGGGATATTTGGAGTGGGGGCAGGGGGAAATCACTAAGGCCAGTAAGAACTATTAATTATTATTAAGCACCATTAACTGAGCTGCTTTGGAAGTGGTGGATGCTGCCTGTGGTGTTTTCCAGCAGGCTGAATGTGTTTGTCTGTACAGGATGGTGACACCTGATYTCTCTCYTCCAGGTTCCCACCAGCTTCTCACRGACACTGCCATGGGCCCTCCCCAGCCTGGCCTGAGGATGCTGGTATAGCAGCTGGCTGCCATCCAGAGGAGCTGTGGTGGGACATCCCTTCCCACTGGGACACCCTCGCCCTCCCCTCTCTCGGCAGAAGCCATGGATGCCCACGTGGACCTGCTGACCGAGCTGCAGCTGCTGGACAAGGTGCCCACGCTGGAGAGGCTGCGGGCAGCCCAGAAACGGAGGGCTCAGCAGCTCAAGAAATGGGCCCAGTACGAGAAGGAGATGCAGCACAAGAAGAGGAAGCAYGAAAAGAAGAGAAACGTCGTGAGCAGAAAGAAAGTGTCCTTTGAAGCCAGCGTGGCGCTGCTGGAGGCGTCTCTGAGGAACGACGTGGAGGAAGGTACGGCGCCGTGCCTGGCAGGTTCTGTCTGCTGCCTGTGAGCTCCATGTGCTGTGAGGCTCTCCTGGGGTGCAGAGGCATCTGTGCTGTCACCCATGGACTGCCCTTGCTGTGGTGTTGGGCTCCCAAGTGTTGAAGGAGCTCTGAGGCCCCCAAAGCCCCGTGTGACACCAGCGTTACCTCGGTTGCCATCGGGAGTGGGTGCACSAATGCCAGGATGGGGCAGGAGTTGTGACTGAGGTTTGGGTGAAGGAAGGCAGTTTTCACCTCTCTCCTTTTCGCACTTCCTACTTACAGGAGGTGTGAAACACTTCCTTGCCTTCTGGGTGTGCCTCTCGCTGGTTTTATAGAAGTCTGTCGCAKGGATTTACATGTCAGTGTGAATCTCTTCAGCTCCCTTGCTTGAGGGCATGAATTCAGAGCTGTGGGGATGGATGATTTTTTTCCCCAAAATACTGGGAAGCATGGCTTTGCTTAGTGCTTCCTGCAGCACAGAACTGCAAATCGTTCAGAAATTGGTTTAATTGCACCATTTCAGAGTGGATGAAARTGCTTTGCTTCTGCTACAGAATCTGAAGGGAGGAGGAAAAAAATATGTCTAAAAGTCAATAACCATTAGCCTCAGCACAGCACGGGGGAAAACCTGTGAGCTCTGGGGARCTGGAGAGTACTTCTCTGCAGAGGAGTAAAAATATCTCTTGCAGGAGAGCTGGAGCTTTGGGGTTGGTGCTCTGCAAAGCAGTGGAATTGGTGAGATCACCCTGATCCCTTGGCRTGGCAGAGTGGAATGTTTAGGAAACGTGGCCAGTTGAGCATCTCTGCTRGAGAATGCTGCTCTAGGTTCCTGCATCCTCTGCAAGAGAATCCTTGCCTGGTACGTGGGGGAAGGACCTCATCTTGTCTGGTGAAGTGTCTCCCCAAAGCTGTGTTCCTGTTTCTGAGCAGGGACTCTCACTTTTTGTGCCTTGTACCTTGTCCTTTCYGTGTGTTTTGCTCCTGTTTTCAGCCAGAACATGGGCAGTGGTGACATTGCCTGGGCAGTGCCACTGCCTTTGCCAAGCCTGGCTGTGGTTCTGTGTGCATTTGTGACYGCCCTGGCAAAGCAGAGCTGTGATAATGCCCTGGAACTGCAGGCTTTTATCTGTTCCTTCCTTGATTTGGAGGTTTTGTAGTTTTTTCCAGCTCCTTGCTCCAGTGACCCCGTGTTTCCTGCTCGAAGCTGTTGTGGTCTCGGAGGGCTCCAGCRGTGAGGCCAGCTGTGCAGTTGTGGCTGCTGGCATTGTCTCAGGGGACAAGTTGGTGACTTGTGTCACCTCTTCCTGTGCTGGCAGGTTRTGTTTGGGTTTCACACTCAGCTGTTCAGCTGCCAGTGCCAGGTCACAGCGCTGGGGCGGGTGATGAGGGTTCCATCATCTTCCTCTTAGTGCGGCGCTGCTGCCCCTGCTCAGCACTGTGCTTGAGGTGTCGTGGGTCTGCAAGAGGCCCAGCCTTGTAGGTTGGCTTTTARSTCTCTCTGGTTTTGCATCTGGGCTYTTTGGGAGGAGGAAAGCTCCTTCRCAGTCTGTCCTGCAGTTCTTTYTCATCTTGTGAGGGATGCAGGATTGGTGGAGGTGTTTGCAGTCAGTCACTGGTGAAGGGTGGCCGTGCTCCCTGATGGCAGCAAGCAGGCAGGGCTGGTGTGTGCCCTGGCAGTGCCACCAATGTCCTGTGGACAGTGTCTTACACCACATGTGGACGTGGATACTTCACTGTGGGGGCTGCAGAGCTGAGCTTTCAGSTCCCAGCTTCACTCCTTTCCTCCTGTGAGGGAAAACCCATCACTGCAGCTCTCCTTTGGCACCACRATCCTGTTGAGCTCTTCCCATGGGCAAACCCACGCTGTGGCCTTGAACCAGCAGCTGCTCTTTCCAATGATGATAAAGACCAAATGTGATAAGGGCACTTCCCTGTGGATGGAAAAATCAACCTCGCCACCCACTGGAGAGGGCAGGGTGGCTGTTCCCAGGGCACAGGTGCTTCCCAAGTAGCTGGATTTTTCAGATGCCTCAAGTTTTTCCACTGAGTTTGTTTTGTGCTCAAATTAAGTCCTAAAAGCAGTGTGTGGGCAGGTTCTATGCCTGCTCTGCCCCCTCCGTGGTGTGGGACCAGCACAAAGGGAGGAGGGGACAGAGTCAAACCCAGGTGCCAAACTGGCAGAATTCCTTATCAAGGAGGTCCCAGGTGATTATTTTGATATGTGAATCATCTTTTATTTCCATGTGGGACGTGGAGGGGGAGGTGAAATATGAATGATTAAGAAGTTGATAAGTCAGAGTGAGGAAGGTTGGAGCCGGGGGCGCAGCTGGCACGTGTCACCTCTGAGCTGCCTCTGGGCGCCTGTGCCRTTCCCATTCCTTGTGACTTTGCTGTTTATTTTTATCATTCTCACCCCTGGAGGGAAGAGGGGTTGGTGATAGGTGCTGTGGGGTGAAATCAGGAGGAGGAAGTGGAGTTGGGGAGTGGGTTGGCTCTTTGTCCAGATGGCTGAGGCTGTGGGGTGTGTGATCTCCCCTGATGGAAGTGGTGGTCATGGGATGGAGCTGGGGAGTGCAGAGCCCAGCCCTGCTCTTCAGGGTCCTGAGGACCTGGACATTTCACTGTCCTTTGCCTGCCCCTTGCCCAGTGGCATTGAAAGAGCTCCTGTGTGCCAGGTGACAAGAGAAAGGCAAGAGGTAATAGCCTCAAGCTGCACCCCAGGGTAGATTTAGGTTGGATATTTGGAAAAACTTCTTCACCAAAAGGGTGTCCAGCCCTGGCACAGGCTGCCCATGGCCGTGGTTGAGTAAACATCGCTGGAGGGATTTTAAAGATGCACAGATGTGGCACTTGGGGACATGCTTTAGTGGTGGCCTTGGCAGTGCTGAGAGAATGATTGGACTCAATGATCCTGGAGGGCTTTTCCCATCTCAGTGGTCCTGTGGCTCCAGGGTCGCAGGGTGGTGGCCAAGCAGGGTGAAGACAGGGGCTGTGGGACCATCAGGGAGGGCAGGAGCTGCAGAGGAGCGATGGCTCCTGGCTGCTGGTGCCTCCCATCTTCTGCAGCACATCTGTCAGAACATCCCGGGTTTTACAAATCCTTTAAAGCTCCTTTGGGTCTCTGCAGGCAGGAGCAGGGTGGGGAGCACCTGCAGAGGCGCTGGTGGCAGATGGGAGCGGGCAGCCATGCTGGGGACAGCTGGCTGGGGGACAGTGACCCCAGACCCATGGCAGCCGTGTCCCTGGGCTGCAGAACACTGCCTGGACCTGCGGTTTGGTCAGCTGGGATGGCTGCAGACAGCTCATGGGTGACTCTGAGGTGACACCAGGGCACTCCCAGCTGCCACACCGGACCCTGTCCCCTCTCCTCCGTGGGAATGCCGGGGAGGGCATCACGCACCATCGCTGTTTTAAATGGAAATATGTTCAAGTTCTCAGCCAGCTCTGGGCTCAATCCGAGCTGGTTTCGAGGGGATGGTGCAAAAGGGAGGATGCTTAGCCCACACAGAGCTTGCAGGGACTGTGCTGCTGGGTTCAGCCTCTGGGCTGTTCTGATGGCTGCGAAGGAGTCRCTTTATAGTGCAGTAAAGGAGTGCTTTATGAGCTGCTGTACTGATTGCAAAGGATTTGTGAGAAGATAAGGAATTGCTGAGGGCTGTGGCTGTTTGAGGCTGCTCTGMGAGGTGATGGACTGAAAAACCATGGAGAACAGGCTGGTCCTGCCATTCCCAGGGCAGCACCTTGTCCCCAAAAGCAGCCAGGGCTGTCGTGTCCGGGTCTTTCTACATGGCTGAGCTTCTCTAGGAGTAGCCCCAGAGCATGGGGAGACGAGCTGGTGTTCTGCAAACTGRAAACACAGATCCCAGAGGTGGCTGAAGTGGCTGCTTGTACAGACATGTGGCATTTGCTGTCTGGGAGTCCCTMTGCCCATCTGGGCTGTTTGCAGGGACAGCTCCTGCTGGAGTGACACAAACTGGAGGCGTTGGGGTGAGCTGGGCTCTGTTCAGAGATCCAGCAGAGAAATAGGGACCCCAAGGATGGATTCACCTTCCAGCAGTGCCCGAGGTGCCCTGGTTTCTCCTGCTCTCAGATGAAAGCTGCCTCCCACAGGTCCCCACCACCCCCCCCCCGGTGATGCTGCAGAGCCCTTCAGCTCCCACATCCTGCCAGCAAAACTCCACCACAGCCAGAGGGTTGCATAAAGCAGCTCTGCAGGAGTTTCAGCGTGCAGATCCTTATGGCTGGTGAGCCYGAAAGTGAAGGAAAGCTCGGGTTTGGTGACCTTGGGCTTGGCATCACGCAGCAGTTTGGTTGGGACAGAAGCGGGTGCTGATTTGGGGCTCGCCGGGTCCTGTGCCAGTCCTGGGCCAGCGTGGGGAAGGTTTCCCTGGGCAGGAGGCAGTTTATTCATATGGACACGTTCCCCATGTTTCCCCCTGTGCCATTCCCCGTGGTCCCTCCACCCTTTCAGGACCATCCCCATGCAGCTCTGACCGCRCTCCCTGCGCACCTCTGTGGAATAAACCCAACCTTGTCATTTGCAAAGGCACTTTTWAAAGAGGCCCTAATTAGTGTCTATAAATTGCTTTCTTTAACCTTTCTGAGCTGATGTGATCTGTTCCCTTGTTACTTCAAGCCTTTTATGAGGTGCCTTAATTTTCCTCCCACACTATTAATCTCCTGGAGGATTTTTTCGTGGGGTTCCTGTGTCCAGGTCTGTGAGTAAATGCATTTATCTGTCTGAGAAGGTTTGCCCCATGGGTTTTGTGCCCTTTGAAGGGCTGTGAAAAGAAAAGGTCTCTTGTCACCAGCAGTCTGAGTGTATATCTGGGTATTTGGGAATGACTTCAGTCAGAAATTAAAAGTTTCTTTTCAACAACAAAGGCATTTCTCGAGTTTTAAGCTCACTGGGTGTGGAAATCAGAGCTGTCCTCTTTAGGAAGCTGCATGTGGGAGCCCTTGGCAATGATGAATTTTGTTAATTT